GGCCACCAACTGGATTTAACTCCATTCACCACAACTCTGGGCTCAGCCACCCAGTCAGTTTTTACCCAGCAAAGAGTGTGCCTGTCCAGGCCGTGAGCCGCCAGTTTCGCTGTGGGAGACTGTGTCAAAATCCCAGAGCAGAGCCTGCCGGACGTGGCGCCTGCTGGTCCCCAGGAGCTCCGGCTGCTCCTGCCCTGGTTCATGCCAGGCTTTGCTGCGCCTTGAGCAGCGCAGGGCTGTTCCTGGCTCCGGGAGCCAGAGGGAAGGGCTTGTCTCTACTTGTTTATGCTTCCAGCAGCCCCTAATCCCTGTCACAGGGTTTCCATGCGGGAGAACATGTTCTGGGACTGTGCCACATGCCTCTCCGCTCTCCTGTGCGAGTCCGCTGGCTCCGGCCGGGTAGCTTTGCTGCTTGCCTTGCGATGTGCTTCCCCACTGCTGGGCACAGCCAGTTTTGGGACAGTGAAGCCAAGGTAGAGATCTCCTGGAGGAGATGGCTCTGCCGTGGCTCAGGGCAGCTCTCTGGGGGCTGGCGGTGCTCTGGGGTGAGGCCGCAGGTTTGCAGGCTGGATTTAGGGTGTCAGCAAGAAGGTTTAGCTGCTCAAGCTCAGGGAGGATCTCATGACTTGGCCAGCATCCCCCTGGGCTGTCAGCCACGCTATCTCTGTGGCAAAGAGCTTGAAATTGCATCCGAGGTCAGCTGGAGTTGGAGCTGAGCCCTTGGTTGTAAGTTGTTGAGGGCAGCTGAGCTGCGCCGGGGCGTCCCTGGGTCTGGAGATCTTGCTTTGTGGTCTGGCCACCGGTGTCTTAGGGTGGGGAGGTGTGGGGATGGCTGGGTGCTCCACCATGGCGAGGGCGGTGGGCTGGTGTGCTCAGAGCACCCAGCCCCGGCAGGGCTGCCCCTCTCCTTGCCGTGGGGAGGGCTGCGTGAGAGCAGCTCTGCACCCCGAGGCAGAGCATCCTCCCCGTGCTGCCTCAGGGCCTCCAGGGAACACTTGCCTGGATGTTGAAACCTTCCGTGAGCGGGTTTGGGGCATCCGACCGGCCAGCGGAGCTCGCACTGAGCAACGTTTAACCCCTTGGCAATGGGATGGCGAGGGAAGAGCAGGGTCCAAGGCCAGGCTGGCAGAGGGGGAAGCCTCGGAGCCGCCCTGGCCACCAGTGGGGAGTTGCAGGGGGGGTTGCTGACCTGGCCCTTATCTTCCCTGTTTCTCTTCTTAGCTCCTGCACCTCTGCAGCCGAGAAGGAGATGGGAGGTGAGTGACCCAGCCTCTCCGGCTGACAGGAGGTAGCCTGAAGGTCCGGCTGGTCTGGGCGCTGTGGGTCTGCTGTGGGGGAAGGACCCAGCTCCCACAGCCTCAAAACACGAGTGGGATGAAGAACATCTCAGTTCTTGGCTAACCCTGCTCCTCAGCACAGGCTGGGCCCCTGCTCAGGCCACAGAGCAGGCAGGGCACGTGGCAGCATTTTTGGGGTCCAAGACTGAGACCCTGTGCTCACAGCAGAAGCTCCCAGGGAGGCTCGCAGGAGCTCAGCGGGGCTGCATGGCCCATCTCCATCCTCTTCCACCCCAGGAGCAGAGCAAAGGGAGAAGCAGTACCGAGCCCATCCGGGATTTGGGGATCGCCGTGGCGGGGTCATCAGTGCCCGCACGTATTTCTACGCTGATGAGGCCAAGTGCGACCAGCACATGGAGACTTTCCTCCGCTGCATCGATGCCTCAAGTAAGTGCTCCACATGCCCTGCACAGCCCCACTGTGCCTGGGGACTGCAGGGACCCTGCAGCCCCCCACCATATCCCGAGCACCCCCCTCCCACCCAAGCACCCTGCCGGGCCAGCTCTGTCCTTGTGGCTCCATCCAGGTGGCAGCTCGGAGGACGGCTTCTCGGCCATCAAGCTGACAGCGCTGGGCAGCCCTCAGTTCCTGGTGAGTGCCAGGCTGTCACCAGGGCCGTGGATGATGCCCCTGGGGGGGGCAGGTCCTTTGGGGTTTCCAGGCTTGCTGCAGCAGCATCTCTGTAGATGGCAGAGAGGAGTGGGCACCACCGGGCTGTTC